GAAACCCTAAGTCTCTAAACTTTCATTAAAATTAATTAAAAAACCAACCAACCGTAAAAACAACATGGGGGAGCCTGGAGGACCAGAATTGTTTTTGAGTGAAATGTCTCAGTGACAAAAGGACAAATACGGCATAACACTGCAATTATAAAATAGGGCAGATGAGGGGGGTGGGGAGAGAATGGGAAAAGAGTGGATAGATAATGAACACTGTATTAGAACAGATGAAAGGAAGAATGATCCAAAAGGAATATGCGATTAGGGGTTCATTATATGTGTGACAACAATACGGAACAAGGAGTGCATTGTGGAGTGTGGGGATGAGGAGGGAGAAAATGTGCAAGCTTGAATACGTTTACCAAAAAAAGGATAGCAGTAGAATTCTTGCCCCTGAAATCTGTGTATAGGGCCAGATTTCTTGTTCTGTGGCATATAACACAAGGAGCTTACTATTGGAATTAGAAAATATGGCTTTCCCCCTCCTTCCATTGTTTTTCCCTCCTAAACCTTTTATTTTGATTTAAGTCAGAATTTACAGAGCAAAATGATGTTGATTGTAATCCCACAAGCTCAGAAGACAGGAAATGATAGGAAAGAAGGACAAATGGAAATGATAACACAGATTAAATGGAAGAATGCTGATATATTTTGGAGATTACAGTCAATACCATGAAATAAAAAGTATATGTGAATTGTTGATTGAAAAAAATCAATCTTTTGAGACTAACAGTTGAACAAATAGATGACTGCTCACAAGCTTTTAAACCCTAATTACTATTCCCTAAAGTAGGATATAGAACATTGTCTTTGTGGACTTTGTTTTACCACTTGATTTTGATGTCTCCTGCCACTGTGATCTGTAACTCCCAAGCTCAACAATTCATTTCTTCATAGTATTTGATATTATGGCAAAGAAGTATATATAATTTTATCCTGTTTACTCTATAATATACGGAGGCTGGGCTCTATGAGGAGAAATGTGGCATCAGGATTGGAGGTAAATTCATCAACAGTCTGCGTTATGCAGATGATACAACCCTGCTTGCTGAAACTGAGGAGGGCCTGAAACACTTGCTGCAGAAGGTCAAGGACTGCAATCTTCAATATGGATTGAAGCTCAATATCAAGAAAACAAAGATTATCACCCCTGGACTGATTGGCAGCATCATCATGGATGATGAAGAAACTGAGATTGTTGACAGCTTCAGTTTGCTTGGCTCTACAATCAACACTCTTGGACTAGCAGCCAGGAAATTAAAAGACGAATTGCACTGGGG